AAGCTATTTCATATGCTTAAGAAATCACTTACAATGGATGCTGCGCCTTGATATTTAGAAGTTTAAGTTTCTTACAGAATCAGTTATTCCCCTGAACATTTGTTCTGACTTCCTGTTTCAGAGTGACTCCTTTCTCAAGCAGACTGCTATGCAGTTACCCTTGTATGTGCTAGTAAGCTGTGTGTGTCTCCACAAACACACAGACACAGCAAATCAAGCTACTTCCCTTCCTGCTGGCCCCCCTCCTCCGAGCTAGTAGATGAACAGTTGCTGGAGTCTGCTCTGTCCTTTGTCTGTGATCTTGTACTGGACAGGAAGTTCAGGGAAGATGGGCTGAGAGACTTGCAAGCAGCTGTTCAGAAACATGATGATTGTAAGTGTTTGGGCAAAAATCTAAATGCAATGCTTTGCTGGGCAATGTACTGTATATTTGTTTTACCTGGATTCATTATTGAAAAAACATTTGAGAGTTTTATACAACTTCAACTATTAAAAACAATTTAGCTTATTTGTGTATCACTCAGCTGTAGATCCTCAAATCATCTCTGAATTGGTGCTGAAACTGTCATTCCTCCTGGAGGGTGGCTACTTTTGTTCCCCATGGTCCCTGTGTGGACTACAAGCTCAATACAAATTAATAAACCAAACGTGAGATTGGGAGCTATTTTTTGGTCACATTATCTTTAAGAATAATTAAAATGTGAATTGAAGTTAAAACTCTATGGGGTTGATTTACTAACCTTATAAACACACCACGAACGTGTATACACCTCTGTAGTGTGTTCCCTCCCAGCATGATCTATGGGTGGAATCTAAACACCTTTGTAGTGTGTACACACCCAGCAGGTGTGTTGTGCAAAGCCCTGCCCTGAATTGCAAGGTGATGTTGTGTAAATTAGCTCTACATTGTGTTGCTTGCGTTGATGAATGCAGGAATGTAAATGCATGAGCTAACCATTTTTGTCTAAACTGTGAAGCAGCATTATATATGCATCATGTGCATGATTTTTCCATATATGGCATTAGTGGAAACATGCTTATAGAGACTTTTTGGTTGATAAATATGCTTTGCTGTGTAAAAATCACACGCACCTGGTGCGTGCGTGTGTTTAGGTTAGTAAATCACACCCTATATGTTAGTAGTTAAAACAATGTAAGGATTTACAAGGTTTGCATCCAATGCACAGCACTGAAATGTCTGAATTTTCAGTTATGGTGGAAGCTGGAAAATGAAGTAGCTTCCCTTATGAAGGAGAGTAGTCAGAGCAGGGAGATCAAGTTGATACAGTCCTCATGGAATGCAAGATACCAGTAAGTGTATACCCATAGCAGAAATATAATTTTGGATGGACTAACCCTTTATATTTTTCATAATGTTAGAAGGTATACAGCTTTAATTACATTATATACTTGTCATAAGTAATTTATGTGACTAATAGGCAAAGCTGAAGACGCAAAGCTTCACATAAAACATATTTTATTAAGTTGATCTACCTGTTTTATTAGCATATCTCACATTGGCCCAACGCCTTGTTCTTTAATCTAAGTCCATTAAGATCAGCCAATAATTTGTGTCAGCAATATTAAAATACAGACCAAACCTATTTTTAAATTATGCTTTCAGCTGACTCAGAGATTTGACTGTGAAGCTTCTATCAGTAATTATATAATAACATTCTTTTAAGAATATATAAAATAAATTTCCCATCTTTTTGTTGTGTCTGTCTTTTTTTCGCATTGGAAGCACAGAGGAGCCTTCTTAAATCATTCATTTATGCCCCTCGGCCCACTGCGTATCCATAACTGCTGTTTTATAGCACACATACAGGTGAAACTCGAATAATTAGAATATCGTGCAAAGTTCATTTATTTCACTAATGCAACTTAAAAGGTGAAACTAATATATGAGATAGACTCATTACATGCAAAGCAAGATAATTCAAGCCGTGATTTGTCATAATTGTGATGATTATGGCTTACAGCTCATGAAAACCCCAAGAACCCAAAATCCACAACCTCAAAAAAGTTGTATACACCTCTGTAGTGTGTTCCCTCCCAGCATGATCTATGGGTGGAATCTAAACACCTTTGTAGTGTGTACACACCCAGCAGGTGTGTTGTGCAAAGCCCTGCCCTGAATTGCAAGGTGATGTTGTGTAAATTAGCTCTACATTGTGTTGCTTGCGTTGATGAATGCAGGAATGTAAATGCATGAGCTAACCATTTTTGTCTAAACTGTGAAGCAGCATTATATATGCATCATGTGCATGATTTTTCCATATATGGCATTAGTGGAAACATGCTTATAGAGACTTTTTGGTTGATAAATATGCTTTGCTGTGTAAAAATCACACGCACCTGGTGCGTGCGTGTGTTTAGGTTAGTAAATCACACCCTATATGTTAGTAGTTAAAACAATGTAAGGATTTACAAGGTTTGCATCCAATGCACAGCACTGAAATGTCTGAATTTTCAGTTATGGTGGAAGCTGGAAAATGAAGTAGCTTCCCTTATGAAGGAGAGTAGTCAGAGCAGGGAGATCAAGTTGATACAGTCCTCATGGAATGCAAGATACCAGTAAGTGTATACCCATAGCAGAAATATAATTTTGGATGGACTAACCCTTTATATTTTTCATAATGTTAGAAGGTATACAGCTTTAATTACATTATATACTTGTCATAAGTAATTTATGTGACTAATAGGCAAAGCTGAAGACGCAAAGCTTCACATAAAACATATTTTATTAAGTTGATCTACCTGTTTTATTAGCATATCTCACATTGGCCCAACGCCTTGTTCTTTAATCTAAGTCCATTAAGATCAGCCAATAATTTGTGTCAGCAATATTAAAATACAGACCAAACCTATTTTTAAATTATGCTTTCAGCTGACTCAGAGATTTGACTGTGAAGCTTCTATCAGTAATTATATAATAACATTCTTTTAAGAATATATAAAATAAATTTCCCATCTTTTTGTTGTGTCTGTCTTTTTTTCGCATTGGAAGCACAGAGGAGCCTTCTTAAATCATTCATTTATGCCCCTCGGCCCACTGCGTATCCATAACTGCTGTTTTATAGCACACATACAGGTGAAACTCGAATAATTAGAATATCGTGCAAAGTTCATTTATTTCACTAATGCAACTTAAAAGGTGAAACTAATATATGAGATAGACTCATTACATGCAAAGCAAGATAATTCAAGCCGTGATTTGTCATAATTGTGATGATTATGGCTTACAGCTCATGAAAACCCCAAGAACCCAAAATCCACAACCTCAAAAAAGTAGATTATTACATGCAATCAATTAAACAAGGATTGTACATAAAACAATATCGGACCTCTGAAAAGTACAAGCATGCATATGTACTCAGTACTTGGTTTGGGCCCCTTTTGCAGAACTTACTGCAATTACTTTTGCACAATATTCTAATTATTCGAGTTTCACCTGTACTTCCAAATATTATATAGCCACTGTATACATCTGTTTAAGCTTGTTGGCTTTCATTCATTCTGTGCATGGAAACAATAGCTTCTATGGAGTAGGGCTTAGGCAACTTTTGAGAAAGTAGAACCAGAAAGGTTATGGCAAGATGGGCTGAATGAAACCAAAAGCCCTCCACTCAGCCATAGCCAGTGTAGGGATTTCTATAATTGTTCTGTATCAACAGTTTCTTTAACATTCCTTAAAACTATTTTCCTGAGCACTGCTCCAGTATGAAGATCTGTTGTAATAGAGGTCACTCTTTAACTCCTATACAGTACAATTCATTGTTTTCTATCTATGAACATTTAATTACAGTATCTCTCTATATTGTAATTTTAATACTTTTTTCAGCGGATCATTATGGCGGCAAAGTAATAAGTACACTTGGCTATACTGCCAACCAAGTAGCACTATCTTCCACCAATTTCAAAGTGATCTTAGTATGTGCAAGGAGATTTTGTGGGGGAAAGGAGCTGGTATGAATGGACCAATACCTTCTGTAATGTGCTATGGAAAATATGTTAGTGCCATTTAATTACTACAATGGATTTAAGTAGTATACTAAGATCTTGTGGGCTATCTATCTATCTATCTATCTATCTATCTATCTATCTATCTATCTATCTAATTATATCTATGCCTATATATATTCTAACAGCCGGACTTTTAGGAGGAACTAAGATGCTGGTGCCCAACACGTGTTCCCCAGGTTGCATATAGCCCACAAGAGCTCAGCATTCAGCCCACTGTGTTCCAGGCCTCAATTAAAGTTTGAAGCACAACAGGCTGGAGGCTGATTGTCAGCAGCTCCAGCATGTTGTAGTTTTAGAACCACTGTCTGTCAGTGACAGTTGTGGTCTAGCATTCAACCACGGAGCTGAAAAGATTAGCTTCTGGGCTTGCAAACCTGTTATAGAGTACTTAAAAGAGAGTGCACAGGGAAACGTAATGCCCTGGCAAATGCAGGTTCTATTCCAAAATGTACTTCTCTGTAACCCATACAATAAAGATGAATTTTAACAAGCTAATAAAATAAGTGCAAAGATCAATGAGACAAACAGTACAACAATCCCTACTAGCCAATTAGATTTCAGAATCCTGCTGTCGGTACAATTTAGAAATTAATTGTAATTGGTTATTACAGTTTACTTCAGTTATCAGTGCAATGTGCACTTTCTAATTGAATAAACCCTCTAATGTGTATGGATATCAATACTAAGCCAAAGCCATCTAACCTACAGTATATCTCAATAATATGACAATGGCAGGTAAATATATTCATGTAAAAAATATTAGAAGAAGTATGTCTTAAGGAAAATAATGATCCCTTATACATTAGTGGTTCTTCCCTAATAACAGTCCTCTGTTTTATATATTTGCAGCAGATAATGAATATTATAAGATAATAATTGTAGATTATTAAGATGTAATGAACTTTAATAATGTATTAAAATAATCATGTTTTTTATTTTATTCATGTATTGTTTTCTTTCATTGACAGCCTCAGTATAATGGCACTCTAAAGAAGGAAACCAAGCGCTATAGCTCACAAAGTCAATTTGACAACTGTGGTCGACAGCAATTCATGTCTGTAGGAGGCCCTATCAGTCCAGGAAGTGACTATGGCTATATGCATACCCTTAAAAGCAGTCGAAGTGAGCCAGATCTCACTGGTCCCAGTATAAGACCTACCCAGCGTCGCCAGACCGTCTATAATGCTCAGTATCAGAATAATGGTCAGTATCAAAATACACAGCAACCACGCCGCTCTGTTAGGGGAAGTACCAATAACTCAAGTTTCTACAGCCAGCAAAGCTCTCAGTGGAAGACTTCAAACATGCCAGCACGCACACCATCTTCCATCTCAACTGGGCAACGTCAGCCTCTTTACTCCACTATGCAAAGATATGAACAACAAGCATATGCTCCGAAGCAGGAAACCTATGCACCAACCTATGCACCAACCTATGCACCTCCACAATTACCATCCAGGTGAGTAGATAATCACTAAATACTGACATAACTTGAGGTTTATATGCAAAAGGTTATTTATTTAACAGGGAAGGACAAGACTGTGGGACAGACAAGTATTTGCTGCCCTGGCCAGATTCAGACCTTAGTCAGCCCAGATGCTGGGCATTATATAGCTACCTGTCAAACCAAATGTTCAGCGCTAATGTTAAAAGTTCAATATGCAGTCTAGAAAGATCTTTTCAAGAAGTATTCATAAGTGTAGTCCGTGATCCATAGAGTGCAAAAAAGTCTCTCAGCTGAAGTACGTGTATGAAGCTCTAAGTAAAAACTCTCCCAATCTGTGTGCGCCACCAATGACACAGATGGTGCTCACCAGACAGGGTGGACCATTATGAAAAGAATGGTCATACCAAATGTTAGTAGCTGCTCCTAATCCATCCACTGGATTTCTCCGCCAGTACCAAACCTCTCCTTCTCCTCTCTTTTCCACCAGATGCTCATAAGACATTAAAAACATCCATAGTGTAATACAGGAAAATGCAATATTTATTTACAATAGTTTAAAAACACTCACAAAAGTGATAATGCGATCACCTGTAACAAATCTTCCCTTCCAGAGCCGCTGCTGGTGGGTTACACAGAATCCAACAGCCTGGTATACCGAACGTCCATTTACAACGCATTTGGTTCAACTGATATAAGAAAGAGTTTGATTGCTCTTTGCACAGAAGCTTTTCATTTTATATTGAGAGAATATACTGTAGGTTAGGAGCACAGCTCTTTAAAGGAGAACTATGGGGTCAGTGTTTTTGCCCATAGTTCTCCTTAGGGTAACGGGAGGACACAAACTAGCGTCCTCCCATTACCTGGCAGATCGGAGCGGGGAGAGGGGAATCCAGCCCCTCCCCCTGTCACGGCAGAGAGCTGTGACAGGATCGGAAGGTGAGCGAACCTGGTATGTGTTCGCTCACCTCCCGATCTACTGAGCCGACCTGTGACAGTCTCATTGTCACAGGTCGGCTAGAACTATGAGGTGAGTGGAAATCAATCATCTCATAGTTCTCCTTTAAGATTAACATATTGATTATATAGCTATCCGATTTGTGTTTAGATCCGAAATGACAGTGCTTGGCAGAGGGAAGTTTTCCAATATTAAAGCACAATTGAACCTTTAAAGGAGAACTATGGGGTTAAGGCTAGAACTATGAGGTGAGTGAAAAGCACTCACCTCATAGTTCTCCTTTAAGTTATATTAAAGCCAAAAGGTTTTAAGTGATTTCAAATGTTGAATTAATCTCTTACAATACATGCTGCTCCTTAATGTTTAAATGATTTTGTTTTTTGCAAAATCAGCTAGTCCCCTGGGTACTGGTCCTGATATCTTCCGTTAGGGTGGCTCCTTTCCCTTGCAGGTTTCTATGGAGCCACCCTTGTGTGTGCTAGTAAGCTGTGTGTGTCTCCACAAACACACATGCACAGTAAGGCAAGCCACTTCCCTGCCCCTGATCCCCACTCCTCCCTTCTCTAGACTAGTAGATGGATGGCTGCTGGAGACTGCTCTGTGTGTTGTAATCTTGTACTGAACAGGAAGTTTAGGGAAGCTGAGCTGAGAGAATTGGAGTCAGCTGTTAAGTAAGATGATGACTGTAAGTACTTGGGCAAAAATGTGAATAAATACTTTGCTGTGCAATATATATTTGTTTAATCTGGATTCATTATTTAAAAAAATGATTGAGAGTTTAATACCACTTTAAGTTTAAATCAGTTAAATACATTCCAGGTGCATCAAAACAAAAGGTGTTTAATATCCAACTGTTTTTTTTTTCTAAAGCAACCTGAGCCTGAGTAGAAAAGTCCTTATCCTGCCAGCAATTAAAGAGTGGGACCCTTGCTCTCGGTAGGGAAGCCGTGGTCTCATTGCAGAGGTATGACACGACTCTTGCCAAGTCAGTCTTACTGCTTTGCAATCAAAAAAGCTCATAGGTAGGTCATCATAGGTCATTAGTAAGGGGTACTCATTGCTTTCACACACAGGGCAATGGTCCCACTCTGCAGCATGGTGGCAGGACACAAGAATATCTACTCAGGCTGTGGCTACTTTTTGAAGAAAACAAACTAATAGACTTTTTTATGCATCTGGATTTAATTTAGGTAATTTTAACTGAAAGTACAATTGGGCTTTAACTTTCTTTGTGGCTCTGAGCTGCGACCAAATGCAGAAAAAGTACTTAGGGAGTCAACACTGGAAGAGTACAAAACTGTGAAATCTGCTGTGCTTAATGAGAAGGATTATTTGAGTTTGATAGATCACTTAAATTAAGTACATTTGATTGGTCCAATTGGGCTCTAAATTTGATAGCTTTAATACAGTTATTTAAAATTAGTTTGGAACCTGCTGGGTTCAATCAAGGCAATTTCAATCCCACCTCCTTGCAGTGAATCAAAACTAAAGTCTACATTCACCTGCCCAGGATTTCAATTCCAGCTTAAAGCCCATTTCCACCTTTGTACGTGATCAGCATTTATTGTGGTAATGTTGAGGTGCACTGATAATATATATGTGTGTACATTTTCATGACTCCCATTACTGGCTTAAAAAAAAAAATTATGGACTTTTTAGTAGGCCTGAGGTCTACAAATTTAAAATGTTCTCCACAGGAACCTCAGTCTGACACTGGGGTTGGATGGATTGCCTTGTAAAGCATCTGACCCCCTCCCTGTGAGTCATTGTAACAAGCTCACTGCACACCAGCTCTGCCTTTCCAGGTCACAATACACTGTCCGGGGGGGGGGGGGGGGGGGGGGGGGGTACCACTATGAATACTAATGAATAGGGGGAGAAAGCTCAGAGAGTGTAAATTTACACAGGCTGCTTGAAAAGCACAGAGATGGCCATTTCAAAAGGAGCCATGAGGAGGACAAAAAAAGTAGGTTTCTCTGTTCATATACAGCAACTGCATGTACACTTCATATACATTTTAAATACCTATGCAAAGGTGGAAATAGGTTTTAAACTTAGGTGCTTGAAATTGCTGTAAAGTTCCCACATTTATGGCCAGCTTTACAGTAAAGAAGGTTAAACCTCTTTTTCCTCCAGTTGTAAAGTGTGCCCCTGACTCTTTAGTGGTGACCATAAAGCAAACCTTTACTTTACCCTTGCAGTCCTGTTCACACTAGAACAGTGATAGTGTGCTGCCCAATTACAATTAAGGATGGGGGATGGGTTCTTCATAGATTTCGGCTGACATTTTCCCAGGGTATAAATGACTGACATTTTATTGGGTGGTGTAGCTTTGCTACATACTACAACATTCCACTTTGTGGTTTTCTTTCTAATTTGTATATTTATTGGTATTTATTTGCATTATTTATTTTCCTTTGTGTACTGATTTATTACTTTCAATGTATATATTTTAGGATGGAGTCCCGTGATGAATTTGAAGGACCATCTATGACCATAGAAAAGGCAGTGGAACTTCTTTCATATGACAAGCAACAGACCGCTGGTGCCAGCTATATACAACATACGTGCTATCAAGATGAGAACGCTAAGAATGTGGTATGTACATCAATTATAAGAGACAACACATACAACCCTTTTCAATAAAGAGTATAATTCTTTACTGCTAACCAGAGGCGACATGATGTCTCCAGAGGAGGATCTTAGGTAGCTGTGTGGAGTCTTAGTATGGCTTTGTGAAGACTTAGAGGACTGTGTGGGGTCTCAGGAGGCTGTGCAGATTCTATGTTGGGCTGTGTGGGGTCTATGGTGGGCTGTGCGGGCTCTCTCTGGTGGCTGTGCAGGTTCTATGGTAGGCTGTGTGGACTCTCAGGTGGCTATGTGGGGTTTATGGTAAGCTGTGTGGACTCTCAGGTGGCTGTGCAGGGTCTAAGGTGGGCTATGCAGGACCTATGGTGGGCTGTGTGGACTCTCAGGTAGCTGTGTAAGTTCTATGGTAGGCTGTATGGGCTCTCAGGGGGCAGTGCAGATTCTATGGCAGATTCTATGGTGGGCTGTGTGGACTCTCAGGTGGCTGTGCAGGTTCTATGGTGGACTATGCAGACTCTAAGGTGGGCTGTGCAGGGTCTTAGGAGGACTGTGCAGAGTCTTAGGATGGCTGTGCAGATTTACCAGGGGTCCAGGTTGGTCTCTGCGGTTACGGGTGGTGTAGATCCACAGGGAGGAGGAGGAGATTTTCAGGCCGGTGCTGTAAACCGTTGCCACCGTTCACAGGAAGGCTGCCGGGACCTTGCTGGGTCGATAGCCTTTCTTTTAAGCCCAGTATTGGTGCATCACTAATGGAGTGGTCACTTGGGACTGGGACCTGCTGTGAAAAGCCGGCTCGGATGCAAGACCCCCATGTCTGCAAGGCCTTAGGCGCCTGCCTAAAATGGCCTACTTTTAGAGCTGCCTCTAATGCTAACTTTTAACTGCAGTAGCCTATAGCAATAAATCAGTAATCATCTTGCCCTTTATAGCTTTGACATAGTTGAATTTTGACTGCTTGCTGAAGAGTTACTGCACCTAGGAATTAGCACTTATGAACTTAAATTATTATATATATTCAAATTCCCCTATTTGTGTGCTGTTATCAGTAGTCCTTGTTTCTCTGGTTGTCACAGTCATCCGTCACAGACTAAATGATGATAGCTTGTCTAAGGCTTTGGCTTAGCTTGACACACGTGGACTCAGGTTCAAAATATAATCTAGGGTTCCTGAGTTTTAATTCCTTTAATATCCCTTTATTAGCTTTAGATTTTAGCTTTTAGAGACAGGAAGTGTTATAACTTTTTAAACATGCATAAAGCATCCCATAATTTATACCATAAATACATAATATAAAGTCATATACAAATACACATTTGTAGCCCACTTTCTCTTTAACAGGCTTTAAATGCTGTCTGTGTCACTTTAGACAAGATTCTCTTGTCTTGTTGTTCTTTTTGACACCCATATTGGGACAGAGACAGAAATAGAGAGTTGACAGTTCAAAGAGGTTCTAACCTCACACTTTCTAACACTATTAAAACTGAACTAAAAAAAAGCAAAAAAAGTTTTGGCTGGAGTAGATAGTCTAGTAGCCTGTAGATGTAATGTATAAAAGGTCTGTAAAAAGTAGGTCACCTAAGCTTATCAGTTAAATGCCATTTATTTTAAACAAAACTGTAATAAAAGCAGAATGGTTTTCCCAGATATTTTTATATCTATGAAAGATTACCATATATAGTTGACTGTGCTCATAAGTCTTTATATGTCTTTAAATTAAGCCCCATGTTTTGGTATCTGCCCAGGTATACCAGCACAATGGCATCCAGAAGCTAATCGCTCTGTTAGACAACCCCGACCAGAAAGTACAGCAAGCTGCAGCTGGTGCACTAAGGAACCTTGTCTTTAAGAATAATCCAAATAAAATTGAGACAAGTCAAAAAGGAGGTGTCCGTGCAGCTGTCAACCTCCTGAAGAAGACTCCCAATGAAGAGACTCAGAAACAACTAACAGGCAAGTGTCTTGACTCTGACTTGAGTTTACACATTTTGGGTTAAATGATGTGAAATATGCTATTCAGCATCTAAATGTGTAGAATATGCTTTTTTAAATCATTAGTGCACTTTTAATTGTTGCTTCAGCCCCCTCACTTACTCTAAATACAATGAATTACATTAAATTGGACATGTGCGTTTCCTTTCATTAAAAATTTAAATTTAGACGAATTTTCGGAAATTCGGACATTCGGATGCATCCGAATTTCCAATTGAAAAAATAACGAATCTGAACGTATCTGAATGTTTGATAATAAAAATTTCGGATGCAACCACATTTTTTTCAGAATGTCATTCGGAATTAACTTATGTTGTTAAATGTTAAAGTAAAGAAAAAAAAAAGAATTGAGAGCAGGAAGGGGAGCATGCTGCTGCACCATAGCAGGCTACATGCCTTCGACAATAAAAGAATATTCAAACATTTTTTGTTTGCAAATAAAGGACTTTTTCACGGTGATGTGTTTTCATTTACATTACATTTTGACTGAGTTTATTTGGTGAATGAGTAGGAGTAACAAGCACCCTTTACTCATTCACAAGGAGGGGCATCTGGGTACCCCTTTATGAAAGGGGGGCACCTAGTTGCAGATAAACCCCCCTCCCCACAGACCCCCACAACCACCGGGTCAGGATTGTAGGGAAGAGGCCCTTGTTCTCATTGACATGGGAACAAGGTGCTTTTCCAGGGGGTCCCCCCTAGCAAAGCACCATCCCAATGTCGAGTGCGTAGCTTGATATGGTGCAGGGGGGGCGCACGCCCGCCCCCTCCCACCTTTTCCTTCTCTGTCTGGCTTCTGCTCAGATAAAGGGTTCAGTAACAGATTTTAGGGTTTGGCATGAATTTGGGGAGACACCACACTTTTTTTAATATTGTTTCTCTAGACTGTCAAAAGTTAAAAAGAAAAAAATATTTTTTTTTCTGTCACTTTGCTGCAATGAAAATTATTTCCTAAATATCTACCACATCCGAAATTAACAAAAATGTTGGATTCGCCCGTATCGGAATCCCAAACGCAATTAACTTTTGGACCTGAATCCCGAAAAATGATATAACGAAAAATCTGAAACGAAACAAATTTGTTGCCAGCGCACATGTCTATATTAACCCCTTAGTGACACAGCTTCAGAAAATGTTTTCACTTGTGGGGACCAGAGCAATTTTGCCATTTTTGCTATGTGTTTGTTTAACCAGAATTTCCATCTTTCTCCTGCAATACACCTACACATGTTATATACTGTTTTTTAAAAGGACAAAATGGGCTTTTATTTGATGTGACATATGCATATTAAAAGTTTTATTTATGTTATAAAAAATGTAAAAAATGTTCACAGCTTTGGCAATAATAATGTGTACATAATTAGTGTAGCTAACAGAAAGTAATTAATAATAAATTCTATTATTTGTCCTAATTTCTAGGGTATATCATATGTCTGGGATTTCAGTTTATTTTGGGAGTTTGGGAGTGAAATACAATTTTAGTGTGGAACAATTTTAGAGTGTGGTATGTCTATATTTTCTTATAATTTTTTGTACTTTTTTTATTTCTAAAAAATTATAAAAACTTTTTTTATTGTATTAATTTAATTTTAAACTAAGGGGCACTAAGGGTTTTTTTATTTTTATTTAAAGGGGCTTTGATACTTAGAGGGTTATTCACAAAGCTAGCCAAAGGATCATCCATAGCTAGCTTCGGCAGCCAGAGCCCTTTGGTTCAGTAGAACCGAAGGGCTGCTGTGCGGGCTATTTACTATAGCCTATATTGCTCCCAAAGCTGGCAGAGCGGCTCAGCCGAGCCGAAGGCATATGGGTACATCCGAAAAGCTCTGCAACTGACAGCTGGGTGGAGCACGGCTGGCTCCGCCCAGTTGCAATGACAGATCAGCGTTCCCAGGTTACCTGGGGATGCTGAACTGTCATTAAACAATGACAACTGGGCGTAGCCGGCCGTGATGTCACGGCCAACTCCGGCTAGTTGTTACTCATTGGCCGGGACCTGCTAGAAGACTCTAGCAAATCCCGGCCAATAGAAAACAGTTGGGCGGAGCTAGCTGTCACTGCTAGTTCCGCCCAATTGTTTCTTTTTTTAATTTTTTCAATAATCTTTATTCATTTTTTTAATCATCTTTATTTTTTTAAATATAATATTTATTTTCATTTTTTAAATCTTTTTTTTTTTTTTACTTTTTCAACTTTTTTCATTGATTTCCTTTTCTGCTCGGTTCCACGGAGGTACCGAACAGAATAGCCGGGGGAAAGGCTGAACTGAAGCCAGCCAAAGCAAGCTGATGTGTGGCTGATTTCAGTCGATGAAATCAGCCGTACAAGCCTGAAGTGAATAGCCGAACAGCGTTCGGCTCACTTCACTTCAGGTGGGTTATTCACCCGGCTGCCTTCAGCAGCTGTGCAAATAACCCTCTTAGTGTTTCTAAGTCAAATACAGTATTCTCCTCAGAGATACTTTGTATCACTTTTGAAACACTGCCGGCTAGCTTTTTACAAAACACAGCAGCTGCTGGCTGTGTGACTGTCAGGGCTCTGCAATCACAGCGATCAGCTCTCACAGTGATCACAGGACTGTGACCACCTAATCTACTGTTGGGGGTCTGCCTAGGACCCCAAGGGACCCATCAACAGCAGTAACTCAATGAGCTGCTGGTCCCTTCATGCTCTCCCGCTTATTGTACTGATTGATGGAAATATCCCCTCACTGGTCGTTAAAGAACTGAAGGATCATGATGGGATAATTCCGTCATCGGTCGGGAAGCGGTTAAATGTATAATTTGTATTTACATTGTTATGTCTGCCTAAGCTGGGAGAGTGTTTAAGGTCTCTGAAATCCCCAGTGCTCATTTGGCTGATAGCATTCCAAATCTCTAGCTTTAAACATGTATTATTCTCAATGGCATCCCCTAGTTTAGTTTCAAATGGATATTCATACTAATTTCATTAAATTCAGACATTCGGACGCATTGAAATTTCCAAATTAGAACGCATCCGCATGCAAATGAATCCGAAAGTTCCTTTAACGTAAATTTGGATCCATCTTAATTTCATTTAAAACTAAACTAAATTGGACATGTGACTGTTCTCTGGCCGATCTGATTTTTCTTTGGCTGTTGGGGGTTGCATTATAGACATGGTCATGTGACTTCCTGTTGTGGATCTGTCCGAAACGAAAATTCGGACAGATATGAAATCTGAAAAATGAACCAAATTGACTTTCGGATCCCAAATACAAAAAGCAAAAGAAATAAAAATCCGAATCGATCTGAAATGAAATGAAACAATTTTTTTGTCTTATTGAGAATTTTCTGTGTAGGGGGTCATCGAGTTGAAACCTAGATAGTGTATTTAAATAAAGTACACCTATCATTACATTTCTGCATAGCAATACATTAGTTTGTGGCTATTTAAGTGTTTAGGGTCACAACTAAAGATTGGGAAGATTATCTGAGCAAGCATAAAGTTGGTTTTAGACATCTTCCAGCAGTTTGTGTGGCCTTTTCATAACATTTTTATGCTGAGTATCAAACACCTTTCTATTCTCCCTCACAAAAGTGAATCAAGGTAAAAGTATAGTAGGCAAGCCTGGATGACATCTAAAACCTACGTCAGAACATCAAGCATGTTCTGACGAAGGGGGCGTGGCCCCGGAAACGCGTCATCATAAGGAGCCCTGTGCTGATACACAGGCTTCTGTGCAGCTTGTTTTAGATGTCATCCAGGCTTGCCTACTATACTTTTACCTTGATTCACTTTTGTGAGCATGTTTTTATTGTTAATTCAATTCATATCATTAAAAACAATCTACACTAGGGTGGGCGCCCTTCTCTTTTGTTTTCTCCCATAGTGTTGCAGCTTCCCAGGCTGAATTGGGACAGCACCCCTAGTAATCCTCGTCTGCAATTATCCTTCATTTGTTGGTCAACGTTTGGGGCTTTAGATTCACTGTCAAAATAATTCTATCATATTCATAATAGTTGATATTCAACTCACATTTGGTTTAGACAGCATGGTGATTGATTGGTTAGCACTGTTGCTTTATAGTACCGATTTACTATCTATGAGTGGGTTTCCTTTAGGTGCTCTTGTCTCTTTTTCATAATTCAAAACATGTGAGCGTAGGTTTATTGCCTTCCACCTAAACAGGTTAAATGCAGCCTTTCCTTGTTAAACGCTGCATTTTCTATTTGATCGCATGCAGATACATTTGAGTGCAAAGGTTGTGTTTAACAAGAACGCCCATCACCAAGAGCCCTAAAGCTGGCCATACACTATACAAAGTGTTCTAATATTAAAGCACAATTTAACCTTTAAGTGACATAAAAGTCAATTGGTTTTTAAGTGATTAATCTCTTACAATAGATGCTGCTCCTTAATGTTTAAACATTTTAGTTTCCTGCAGAATCAGGTGGTCCCCTGACTGCTGGTTTTCAAATCCTGCTTTAGGGGGGTTCCTTTCCCTTGCAGGGTCCTATGGAGCCACCCTTGTAAGTGCTAGTAAGCTGTGTGTGTCTCCACAAACACACAGGCACAGTGAAACTGGCCATACACGATACAAAAATCCCACAGTGGGTGCCACTGTCAGCACCCGTTTGGCCAGCATCCCTCAGCTAATCGAAGGATCCAGTCGGAAAATCCTCAAACGAACAGAGCCGTCAGCCAATAAGCTGCTGGCTCTCTTCTGGTATTCTGGAAGCGACCACTAGCCGCCACTAGAATACAATGCAATCAGTGGGAGATTCCTCAATCAACACTCTTCAAATCAACACTCAGATTCCTCATGGAGGAATCTGTTATATTTTCTTTGTTTAGCCAGCGGGTTGAACAAAGAAAATATTACAATGTATGGTCAGCTTTATATACTTACATTGAATATTGTAGACATTGCTAAGCTTGCTTGTTGTTTTAGTGACCAAATATAATTAATACTTGGAGGCTATGTTATTGTAGTCCAAAGTAATTGCCACTCTCTGAAATATTATTTTACATGTTGTTAGGAATGTTACAAGAGGATTTAGAATGGAGAAGATGTAAATTAAAGACACCTTATTTTTTATATCCCTTATAACATGCAACTGACTTAACCCCAACTTTTCTTTCTGTACTATACAGGTCTTCTGTGGAATTTGTCCTCTACAGACCAACTGAAAGATGAACTTGTTAGGGAAGCTCTCCCTGTCCTGAATGAATGTGTAGTGATTCCATTCTCCGGCTGGACAGAGAATTCAGTGCCCTGTCAGAAAAGTAACATGCACCCTGAAATATTTTTCAACGCCACGGGTTGTTTAAGGTAAGATGTCAAAACCAAGTCCGGCGCTCTTAGTTGCATATTATTTCCTGAACTGTGAATGATGCCATCAAACCTTGTGCCATAATGTCACTTCCAATCGTCCCTAGGAATCTTAGTTCAGCAGAGGTTGGTCGTCAAGCCATGCGTAACACCCCAGGACTGGTGGACTCTCTGATGTATTACATCCAGAAACAACTGGCCAACAATAACCCCGATGACAAGGTAAGAGTTGAATCTGAGCTCTGTTAAGTTAGTGCTAGACAATAATGAATATTAGTTATTTTTGAAGATGCCTAAAATCTTTGTTATTATGTCACTTCTATAGTCAGTGGAGAACTGTGCCTGTATTCTGCACAATCTTTCTTACCATTTGGATTCTGAGGTGCCCAATAAGTATTCTCAACTGAATGAGCAAATGTTGCGCAACCAGCAAACAGACAAATCTTCCACTGGCTGTTTCAGCAATAAGAGCGAGAAGATACAGGTAATTATCAGCTTGGTAAAACATTGATTTTTACAGAATCCATATACTCAAAAAGCAGGGATGCAAGAAACAACAACTTCAAACTGTAATCCTCAGTAGTGACCAAAATTTGGTTTGCCTTTAATCAGTTATGCCAAGTCTTATAACAAACTGGTTGTTATGTTTTATCAGTTATGGCGATACCATAGCTTAAGCAGATTGTACAACAGAGTCCCATCTTTTTTTTTTTAGTCCCATTTTCTGAAGAGAATTAAGCCTAATGTAATATGGTGTTTAGAAGCTCACACACTACATTGATATATATAAATTGAATATTGTAGACATTGCTAAGCTTGCTTGTTGTTGCAAAAATTACAGTAGTATAGAGCAGGAAGCACTCACCATATGACTTGCAAATAGATTTGACAGTATCTAATACTTTTGGATATAGGCATCAATAGGTATGTACAAAATATTATAAATGAGTACTAAACATCAATCTTTATAGTTGCTTTATATATAAATAATTGCAGTAACATCCATGGACTAAAGTGGAAATAACAGACTTACAGAAAAGGAGGTAACTCAAAAAATACCAGTTCAATATAAGTTGTCCCTGTTTCACAGTGTGGCTACTTTCTCTGAGAATGAAAAAAGTCAAAGGAGCAGGATGGAAAATGTTTCTCAATCTAATGAAATTGTGAACAGTGAATGTGGTTTTTACTTCGGGAAACTTCATTCATTCCAAAATTGAATGTTAAAATGAAACGTATTTTTCTATAAGACGCCCCCATGTATAGGACGCCCCCCACTTTTCTTACCCAAAATTCAGAAATCAATATTTTCCATGCTCTTTTGCATAACTGATTACATCCAGTTAAAATTTTGCAGAGTAAGACAACTGATTACTGGTACCGGTATTTTATTTGTTTTCTGACATTTTTATGGGCTCCCTGTTGCATCTGGGCACTGGCTACATGTCTACAATCGGAAGTTTCATTCGTGAGGCTAGTTTGCAGAAGTATCGGCAGTTTCGCAACCGCGGTTCTCCTCTCGGCCCCCCGTGTATAAGACGCCCCTCCATTTTTAGGTAAATATTTTAAAGAAAAAGTATAGTCTTATACACGGAAAAATACAGTAAATTTCTTTCATTTAGAAATCTACTAGTGTATGGCAAGCTTAAGACACAGCTGGGGTTCCACCAGGGAACCCCTCATGGGAGTTTGGGCTTAGCTGAGACCTACCCACAGGTCACTCAACAGTTGCTCATAGACACAAGAGAGGGAAGGTGCCAGGTGACAAGAAACTGGAACGTAACATATGCCTAAGGCACTGGGCAGTTGAGAGCAGGGGTGATCTGGAGGCTGCAGATGCTACAGCAGAGGTTCTGACTGTAGATGCTGCAAAGATTGCGGGTGCTGGGGAGATGCAGCAGGGACCCAGATTGTGGATGCAGTGCAGACTGCAGGAAAAAAAATTAGGCTGTGGGAGCTGCAGAGCCTTTGGAAGCAGCTGAGGTACCACAGACAGCAGGTGCAGCAAGAATTGTTGATGCAGCTGGGGTGCAGCAGAGATGCAGAAGAAACCGGGGATTAAGCAAAGGTGCAGGCGAGGCTGCAGGTGCAGCTAAAACTGTGCATGCAGTTGAGGTACAGCAGAGATGCAGCAGAGACTTCAGTTGTAGCTGAGGTGCAGCGGAGGCTGGGATGCAGCAGAGTCTGTGGATGTCTTAGAGACCCCTGATGTCTCCATAAAGGGGACCTGTAGCTGTAATTTCTTATCACATAGGAGACTTCTTAACACCCTATGTGATAACAATAAAGTTAAGTGTAAAAAAAGTTTTAAAAAAAATTGCTCACAAAATAAATAAAAATTTACACACACAAAACAAAAAAACCCACAAAAATGTTTTAAAGTCCCCCACCACCACATAGATGTGCAAAAATGCATTAGATGCGCCTACGCACAAAAACGATGATTGCTCCAATTATGCTGCACGTGTTACATATCGCCGCAAACATTGCAATGAGAGCAATAATTCTCAGGCCATCAATCACTGATAACACTAAACTGATAAGCGGTAAAATCTTTTAAAGCGTCGCCTATGGCCAATTTTGGCTATGGTGTTTTTTTGCGATTTCGTGGGCATGCGCAATTTTAAGGCTTGACATGTTTGGTGTCTATTTACCCGACGTGACCCCGCCTTTTGTATTTTACCAAAAAATTGGGTAAAAATAATTGTCTCCTAAAATAATAAAGGGAAAACCATTTTTTTTAAATATTCGGTACTTTGTTTGTTGTATAGTAAAAAATAAAAACCCCAGTGGTGATTAAATACCACCAAAAGAAAGCTCTGCGGTGGATCAGAGACTGGCATCAGCGAGGGACTGTCGGAAACAGGTAGAAAGAAGATGATCGCATTAAATAAGGTAAGTACTTACAGCAGAAAGGGGAGGGTGAATGGTGCCTTTAATGGCACTTTAGGTGCCACATTCCAGTGCGTTCTGGTGTGTTTACATGTGTTTTTGTGCGTCCCAGTGTGGAAAAAGAGCATGCTGCTGTACTTTTTTTAAAGTTCTGGAACTAAATACAATGCTGGAAAATAGCCTCATTTTAAACCATTGGAATTGCTGTGTATGCGTTTTTGGTGTGGATAAAAAATACACCGGTCTGGTGTTTCTACTGCTCTGTTGCAATTAAATTGTAATAAATGTAATCCTTTTTTTAAAAAATATGACTTATTACTAGTACCTTTACTAACCTTTATTAAAAAATTATTATACTGGAGTAGAAATTAAATTTAGTATATATCTTGGACATTCTTTTTCTTACTTGCTACACTTCATTATTTTGTCTTTTCCATAGAATAATAACTTTGAGCTGCCACTTCCAGAAGAAGATGTTAACCCTAAAGGGGCTTCTCTGCTGTCTCACTCCAGTGCTATAAAGACATACCTGTCTCTTCTGGGGCAGAGTAAGAAAGACTCAATATTGGAAGCAAGTGCTGGAGCGCTGCAGAATCTCACCGCAAGCAAGGGGCCGGTGAGTCACTGAAAGTCACAGGATTATAAGTACTGTGTGAGCAGTTGCAATTTTATGTCCTAGGCTAAGTTGTCAATGTCCAGTGGCGGAACTACCGCCATAGCAACCCACGCAGCCAATAGGGGCCCGAGCAGAGGGGGGCCCGGTGAGGAAGAGTACATTATTCCGGTCAGTGAGAGCTGGATAGAGCTCAGGTGTTCCTGATCTCAGCCCTTTTTTGGAAGTAATGATGGACGGCAGGTGTTCATGGATGCTTCCCAAATCCTCTTCACATATGCAAACAAAATACTGAGGTGAGCCAGTACAATTGTTAACACTGCAGCCACCAAAGAAGCTGTGGAGAAGGGGAGATGGAGAAATTATATACGATACCTCCCACTAAGATGTAATGGGTGCCATTTTAAAAAGAGGATTTTCATGATTTGAATAATGATTTAAATAAATTTAGACATTTTATATAACTCGAGGGGATGATGCACAGTTGACAATGTGCGTCATGCTGTGGTATGTTAAAAGTTAAAACCCTAGAGCCAGAGTGAATATTTTTGTTAAATAAATCTCCTTGAATAATGATTATTATGCAAAACAGAACCAAGCAAAGCCTTTATGTATAAAGGCTTTGTCACAATGAATGGCCAAGAAAACTATCGGAGACCTTCCTCAAGAGTAATCATGTGACAACCTTTCTTAAGTTTTATGTTTAATTCCAGATGTCCAATGGGATGAGTCAGATTATTGGCATGAAAGAAAATGGACTGCCGCAAATTACACGATTGCTTCAATCTGGAAATTCGGATGTAGTAAAAACAGGAGCATCTCTACTGAGCAACATGTCCCGACACCCAGCTCTTCACAGAAACATGGGTAAGAGACACACAGTTATGTTTACCCCACCCTATAATACTATTCTTTATAATGCTTATTGATTTTGCCACTTTACATCTTACATCAGGTACCCAGGTGCTTCCAGATGTTTCTCGCCTCCTGTCCCAGACCTCTACAAGTGCAACAAACTCAGAAGATATCTTATCCTCAGCATGTTACACCATGAGAAATCTTGTTATGGCCCAGCCTCAATTGGCAAAGCAAAGCCTTTCTACCAACCTAGTGGGAAATGTGATCAATATGTGTAAGAACGGGTAAGGAACACAAGTCTGAAATATTTGGTGGTTTCTTAGATTGTTTATTAAAATGTACAGCATCTCTATCAGACTGTACCCTTCCTATCTTTCAAAAATCGTCTTTACTCAATCCATTTTTTGGCATGTCATTATATTTATACTGTATATATATATATATATATATATATATTTTCTGTTTGCCACAAGGCCTGTTTTTTAGAGCCACACATAGGCCCATTGTCTGGTGCAAAAACTGAAATGTTTTCTCTTTTAGCTTATCCATACCAATGACTAATAAGGCAGCTAATCTCTCAGAATGTTCAATATTGTAAATAATGAAATATTTATGATTAAATTCACTGGTCTCTGAGGTCTTGAGGTGCAGCCTATGTAGAAAAGAAGTCAAGGAGACTTTTCGCAAACATTTTAACACTATGTTAAAGACCAGCAATATATTTTTGAGACAGATACATAGAGTGTACTCCCCCAATTGTCAATATTATTTGCACATTGGGGTTGGGAATAGAGACTGCTCACTTGGTGTGGTTAAGCTGTGTTCCCTTTGAATACCCGATCATGTGCAAGGGAATTAAAAAAACAAAAAGGAAGCTTTGCTTGCACCTGATTTGATGATTGAAATTGATACAACTCAACGTCTTAAGTAAGTGAACATACACTTTCCAAAATTAAATTTAGTTTGACTTGTTTTTCTATTTTGTTTTATTTAATTTCTAGTTATTTTGAAATTATAAATATTATAGTATACCTATACACATGAGATGTCTTGAATGTCAGCATATTTTAATGGCACTTTGATCAGTTTATAGGCTATGTTTATAAATTACATAACATAACCTTAGGAAAAAAATATTAGATGCCTGTATAAAGGTGGCCATAAATGGCAAATATTTGACAGAAAATTATTTGGAGCTGAATATATACCTGTAGAGAGCATTATGTGTGATCTAAAAGTGCTCTCTTTATCTAACAGAGATCACAGTAGAGACTGTTTGCTTTCAGACCTTATCTCTGGGAAATTCTGCACAAAGTAAAGACAAAGAGGGACAGGGGGGGAATCAGTCACTCCTCTTGTTTGTTTAGCTGTGTGTGTTGTATGAACCTGAGCTATTGAACTCTGTATACACTGAGTGGCCAGATTATTATGACCACCTGACGTTTGTAGGCAAATTAGCTATAATTAGCTATAATTTCGCGCTGAAGTTGCTAGAGGGCCAGACCATTATTAATAGGGAAGCAGGTTGTTTACCACGACAGTAGAAGTGATGTTTTCTGAAGATATGGGTAAACAACGCGATTTAACAGCTTTTGAACGTGGGATGATTGTTGGCGCTCGGAGCCATGGAGCGAGTATCAGCAAAACAGCAGAATTTGTTAAATGTTCAAGAGCAGCTGTGGTAAAGTGTTTAAAGACTGGTCTGTCAGCTGAAAATCTGGGTCTGAACGTGCGAATTGTGGCCGCCAGCGACTAATCAATGTTAGGGCAGAACGGAGAGTGGGAAGACTGGTATAAGACAACAGAAGGGCAACAGTGCAGTGTCAGATTCCTCGCATCACCTTTCAACATCTCGTGGAGTCACGAGGCTGCCCAACAAAGTAATCTCGTGGAGTTATCTTGTGGCCCAACGAAGTACTGATGGGGTGCTCATAATAATCTGGCCACTCAGTGTATAACAGCCATTTTTAAACAAAACAATATTAGCCTGGTAAATATTAAGAAAAAAAATTAGAAAAAAGCTTATTACGTTTCTGCATGTTTTACAGAGCTTCACCCAAAGCTGCAGAAGCTGCCCGTCTTTTCCTGACAGATATGTGGTCCCAAAAAGAGCTGCAAGGGATACTCAAACAGGTAAAGAAATTATTACAATCGCATGTACAATCATAGATAAAATAGAAATTATTCATAATTTTCTCTACTTCTTTATATATCTAAACCATGAATAGCAAGCAATCTAGCTGTTAGTAGTTCTTTCATTTTGCATGTTTTTTAGCCAAATGTTTTATTTTTACTGTCAGTTGTATTTTAAAGTGACACTAAACTCAGGAGTTAAATCTTAAAAAATGCAATAAAGTACCTTAACTATTAACAAAAATGTATCTTATTTGTGTATCACTGAGCTGTAGATCATCAAATCATGTCTGAATGTATGCTGACACTGTCCTTCCTATTGGAGGGTGGCTACTTTTGTTCCCCATGCTCCTTGTGTGTGTTGTCAAATAGCCCCCACTCCAAGCTCACATCTATGACAGACTACAGTCTCAATTAAAATTAGTAAACTAAACATGAGATTGTAGTCCATCACTGGAGGGAGCTTGGAGTTTTTTGCAACACACACAGGGAACATGGGGAAACAAAAGTAGCCATCCTCTAGAACGAAGAACAGTGTCAGCACCAATTCAGAGATGATTTGAGGATCTACAGCTCAGTGATACACAAATAAGATACATTTATGTTAATAGTTGAGGTACTTGAATCCAGTTTTTAAGATTTAACTGCTGAGTTTAGTGTCATTTTAAGGTATTATGTACACAAATAGATGTTTTACTTATTTCAGAAGCTAATGAGCAGTGTGCAAGGTTTAGTAACCCAGAGCAACCATTCAGTAATTGTCTTTGTTCTACTTCTAATTAGAGTAAATTACATAATTTACTTATTTAGCCTAAGGAATGCATTAATAAAGAAAAGATAGAACCCCATAGTTCTCCTTTAATGGGTTACAGCTTATTTAGAATTATGATTGCTTTTACTAAAGCCTTGTTAAAGAACCTATTCTTTTGCCAGATTTTATGTCTCCATGTTCCATCATAAACTAACAGTTTTTTTCCCACTACAGCAAGGACTAGATAAGAGTATCATGGGATCACTAGCAAGTTCTACTGTTCGAAACATGATTCCTCGGGTTTTTTAAATCACATTTAAAGGACATCCTATCTTTGAGGTAAAGGAACCGCGCATACATATATATATATATATATTTTCCCTGTCATTTTATAGGTAACCTGTAAGAACAGCATGGGGATGACCAACATCTTCCAGTAATGTTACCCTTTGTGCTTCTGCATCTGTGCCTGTCCGAGCTTGTTAGAGCATTGCCCATCATAATCAGTGTAAAGAAACACAGTAGTGTGTTAAAGGAAACCTGTAACAGGAGATAACTACAGAGGCTGCTATTGCTGACCCCTCCTTTTGGAAATGTTAGCTGCCTGTTTGTCCTGCTGATCCATTGTCTTCACAAGGCCTCATTCACACATCCCAATAGGTCTGGACAGTGGATTCCTGCAGATGAAATATCTGGGATACCTGTATAAAGCAATAACAGGTGCTGTTGGGTGTGTAAATGAGTTTTAAGTCATTGACTTAAGGCTCGTTCCCACCAGCCATCTGCGTTGAACTCACTGGTGTGCACTGACAGGCTTATACGCCAATCCTGTTTTTGTTAATAAAATGTTGTGTGATGCAGTTGCATTGCATTGCACCACGCTTCACTGAAAAAAAAGTACTGCACACACTGTTCAGGTATTCAGCGGCTGCTGGAATACAATGGCCAGTAGATGGAGATTCCTTCACTCATGCTGTTTAGCCTGGAATGAGGAATCTATTACATTTATAAATAGTTTTTTCTAAGGTTATGCATGCATGTCCACCTTTAGTAACCTGTATGACAGTTGGGTTAAGCTTTACTGACAGCCCAGAGGTCATAAACTTTTCTCCATCCTTGATTATGTCAGAGCCTTTTGATGTGTTGAAGCCGAACTATACTTGTGTAACCTCAGGACCCACATTTGTCCTTGGTCATTAAGTCGTGACCCAAGTTGCACTGCAATGGAACGCACAGCATTACGGTACTGCACGTTCCGATGCGGGCAATAGAACTGTGGGTGGGAGGTGCATTTGGGGTGCCATTCAAATGAATGGCAATGCAATGCACTTCTCACACAAAATGACGTGGTAGGTGTGATTACGAAGTACAGTGCATTAATCGCACAGGACTGTGCGATTAACGCACTGTACTAGTGTGAATGGGCCCTCAAAAACACACAACCACAGACACAATCTCACACACTCCTAAAAAAACAAAACATTTTGTCCTTTTTTAAAGATCCACCCAGTCTCTCTACCTTATAAGAACTGGAGTGGATCCTTAGCCTTGGGTCCGGTGTGGGCTGTGGAGCTCCATCCATATGTGCATTGCTTGTACAGCTCCCTTGCATACCATATAGAGGTGCCGAGAGCCAGTATGTTACATCACACTGGTCCAGGCACCTCTACAGGACATGTGAGGGAGCTTTAAGCAATGCACATATGGATGGAGCCCACCCTACCTCAAGCTGACACTTGGCACCGGGCAGCATATTTTGAATGGCTGCTTGGCGCAATAAATGACAGTAATGCGCTAGGGGTAGGCTGAGGAGCCTCTCACCTAGAAAAGTGGAAGGCCACGGGGACCCACTGAACACAGGGTCACGACCCACTTTTGGGTCACGACCCACCAGTTGAGAACCAAGGCCTTAGAGCCAAGGAAGGTGCCATATTTGTCTCTATTTCGATTGCAGTTGCCATGGTGCTGCACAAGTAATCAGCTATGAGACCAGTCATTTGAGGGCTTCAAAGTTTGGTCGTTGTGGTCAAGCTCTCCAATTTTGTTCCCACTTCTTTTCTTTTCTGCAGTTTTTATAATTAGACCAATAAAGCTGGTAACAAAAGTATCTTTTTGAGTTGTTAACAATAAATGTTTGCATCATTAGCCTGCTAAAAATGTGCATTTAAGAGATTTCTTTCCTCCTCTTATGTTCTTTATTCTTTCAGCAGATTGCCATTCCTTTCAACTGTTACACAGAACCAAGACGTGTATGTGTAATCTGCAGAAGTACTGGGGTGATGATCTGACAAGCCATCTCCTTAAGAAACTTTTTTGGATAACATATATTTTTTTAATGCCGCACACTACTTTGGGATGTGATCTGCAAACTGGGACTGTCAATTTACAGACATTAAAACAAATTGCAAAAGTCAAAGGTTGCCAGGCACTTCCATTGCATACTACAGCCAAAGCTTTAAAATATTATTCAGTGATAGGCTGCTTTTACATGGGTTTTCATATATATGTAAATATTTTAGCTTTTTTTCCTTAGTCATATTTGTATATTTTCAACATGGGATGGGTCTGATGGAATCATGACTTATACCAGAGAGGGTAACACTACAAAAACAACATACTTATACGGGATCTTTTATGAACCATAAAGAATGCATATTATCTACTGATACACCATCTTGGTTTCAGCAGTTTGGTCATTGTCTTTAAAAAAAAAAAGGGCCACACATGCAGTTACATCTCTTTAAATTACTTTTTCCTGTAAAAATAATTTTCAGCTTCACATTATGTTAATCATGCAGGTGGAGGGACAGTCTGATGAACTGCACAGAATTGCTCATTGGTGGAATACATGTAGGCACACTGCTAAGGCTGAACAGGATTTATCTTAGGATGCTATTGGTCCAACCTCCATTATAGACATATTTAGGGGTTGATGTAGATTATGGGTTTTTTTGTGTAAATTCAATGTTTATCACATACGCTAATAGGTAGCCAAGCACAAGCAAATATTCCCTTCCAGTTTCTTCTCAGATTCATTAAAAATACTCTTATGTTATGATAGTCACTGGAAAAAGGTTTTACTATCATAATTACTTTAAACAAATCTTCTTTTTTAACTGCTTCAAAATATGCAACAGGATTACATGTTGTTATGCATATACATACTGTATAATCACGCATGTTAGGAAATTCTTACTTGTACCACCTGCCTAATATAAACCCATCTGTATCTCATCCCTAGTGACTTTGCACATTGCTGAAATTATGCAAACCGCTAAGGCTTCATTCTTTTTGATCAGTTGCAATTCAATAACTATTGTGTGTCTTTTAAGCAAAGCTAACAAGAAAAAAAAGCACTTATTTTAAATTCCATCCATTTACCTGCATATGTGAAAGTATTACATTTGAATTTTTTTATTGTTTCGGTTCAGCACTTCACCTAATTGGTATGATGACAAACTGATATAAATGTGTTGCACTAGTTATCTAATTTTGTGAAGATATTTGTAGTACTAAAGGTATTTGTGAAATATAAATCACTTAGGGCCAGACCATATGATTTATTTTTTTATAACAAAAAGCAAAATTATTTATCAATTAGCTTTAGGGATGCAGGTCTCTATCAATTTAAAGTCCAACATCTGTTGGTATAATGCTTTAAGAGCCAGCAAACTGTTTAGGCAGAATTGTGCACAATTCAGAGCCTGGAGAAAAGAAAAATTTAAGATAGGAGTTTATATAGAATATATAAAGAAAACAGGCTTTTAGAATTACTTAACCGGTTTCTGTTGTAGTGAAGGTATTTTTCTACAATTCTTGTGAATATTTTCTTTATATAAAATAGGAGTACACTGATAATGTAATTAATTGATTAATAAGGAACTTATAAGTGACAGGTTTACACATTCACTTTAAACTACCCTACAGGAATTTGCACTTTAAGAAATAAAATTCCCCTTTAAAGTTTCATATAGCTTAGTTATAAACTACACACTGTGTGGGGCTGAATTCTTATAAAGGCAGAAGCTGTCCAGATGCTTCTAGGGTTTTGGCTTAGGCGGTAGCAAGTCATTGGGGGCATAGCCAAACTGTACAACTCTGTTAAGTACTATGCAGTGTGCATTGGGACTTGTAAGAACTTATAGTCATGACACTGAACTAGGGACTTCTTAATATTTAGTCATTTTAACATGTCTCCATGGCGAAAGTCACTTTTCTCAACGCTTATCATTTTCATTATTTAGGACTTTTGACTGCTTAAGGAAAGTATACTATTTAAGATTTTATTTTATTTTTTGCTAAAACCAGTGCTATTCCTTTATATATATCAAGACGAGCCAGTGTCTTGAAGGCCATTGAGAAAACACCAAGTGGACACTACATTACTAGTGTATAAATCTTTAATATGTCCCATTATTTATAGCAAGGGGTTTCTATTTAAATAGTTTCATTCTGTAAACTCTTTTAAATGTTAGAGGATGTCACATTGTCATTTTGACTAGATGTTTAGAACTGTGTATGTAAAAGGTTTTGCAGTATGTAAGGACATACATTTGTAAAGGGATAAAACATGAGACAACATGTATGTATGGCCATGATCTGCATATGTTATCATGTTTTAGCTCCTTACAAATGTATTTCCTTACATACTGCAAAACCTTTCACATACACAGTTCTATGCATATGTTTTTATTTTATTTTGCCCTGGCATACACTTTAAAAATGATAGGATTAATTAAACCATCTTCCTAAATGTTTTGTCCAGTATTGCTCTTGCAAGCAACCTCCACAGTGTTATATTCTATTACTTTTATGACTTTGGCACTTGGTGTGCCAAGCATGATGTGTAGGGGCTGTTACCCGGTGTACACAGGTTATGTTGTTAAATGTATTTGCTAAGTCTACGCTGACGCATCAACTGTGCCTAACGGCAACATTTAGCTGATTTACTAAATTGAATATTAGATTAAGCACAAAGATTGGCAGCTTGACAGGAATTGATAGCAAAATGAGGCACTGAACATAAATTCAAAACAGCATAACAGGTCAGGACAGTACCAAGAGTGATCATAGCTAGTATTTGAACAAACATGTTTGTAAGGCAGATAATTGATGGGAACCTGATGATGTAATAGTGAATAATGGATATATGAATACAATTTAGGAGCAAGTTGAGCTAGTTTTTGCAAGGGATTAAAACACAGTACTGATACACAATGGAGCTAAATGATTGTGAAATGCTAAAATATATTGTCACGTATTGCACAAAATATTGGGTTTAACTCTCAACAAATTAATAAATGTCCTTTAACAGGCCTTACAGACATCCACTCTGGTAACATTTGTTTAAGCAAGCAAAAGTAAGGAAGAAACTTATTAGTCCTGCTTTAGTGGATTTTCTATATGGATAGTGATAAAAACAATATACATGCATTGCAATGGGATGGATTGTAATCTAAGATAAGTATGGCCCTGCCATTGTTGAGCTCCTTCTTGAAATGCTGGCTGCCTGACTATTATGCTGACCCTCTAGTTTCTAATCCTTTTGCATCAATGGCCTGGAGCAAGTATGCATATCATTGAAGTCAGAACATATTATCTACATACTGTACCTGTTCTATGTTAGTGACTGAAATGCTTTGGCATGTTGACCAAGTGACTGGCATTTGCTGAATGAGAAACCAGCAACAGAATTCTCCTTATTTCTCCCAGGAAATTATTTCAAAAGATCATAGAATGTAAGCCCTCACGGGCAGGGCCCTCCTTACCATCTTGTCTTGAATTGTATTGTAATTGTCATGTCTTCCTTATATTGTAAAATGCTGCGCAAACTGCTGGCGATCTATAAATCCTGTATTATAATAATAATAATAATATACCAAGAGAAACAGAAACATGTGGGTTGCCATTGCTGGCCACTTCCTCTGAACTTGCCAGTTGCCTGGATGTCATGCAGAGCCAGCAGCTTCAGTACTTTAGTCACTGACTAGGGACTTAAAGTATTGAAGCTGCTGGCTCTATCGTGCACTATGACTATACTGTACTAGTTCTGGGTAATGGCACAGCAGGAGTTCCATATTCTATGATGCATGACCATTATATTATAACTGATGAACACAGGTTAGACTGACCTAAAATTCCATTATTTCCTGTCTATTTGGATGAACAAAACATTCTAAGAGCATAGTGCAGCTATCAATATCAATGACTAATATAGTAACATTAGCTGGATATTACCTACCAATTATTTACAGTACACAGATGCTTTTTTTTTTTACTTTTCTTTTTTTTTCTGGCTCAATAATAAGGTAGCTTTTGCACTTTAATACAGCTTCACTGGGATTCGGCTGCTGTTCATGTGTCCTTTATACATATGTATTGAAAAAAAGTTGTTTAGGAGCTTACATTATAAGCTCTTTATAGTTAATTTGCACTTTTCCATGACAACATTCTGTATAAATGCTACAAAACAATAAAAACATTTTTGCTTAATGCTCGCATGAGATGGTTATACTTATGTTTCCAACCAGATATTTTGTTTTGTGAAATTCAAGTCATTTTTTTCCGAATGCAGTTAGACCTTAAAAAACAAATATACATACATACATCAATAGACACGTTAAATATAGTCAGAATTGCTGTCTATTTTAGAAATCACGTACAGGCGGCTGAGTGGGGGTAAAACCAAGCAGTTGATCGGCAGTTCTACTGCTCCTCAGCTGTCCATTGCAATGATGGCATTGCTGCAGGACAGTGTTGTATACAAAATGATACAGCATGGCACGTTTGGCACGCGGCACCGTAGTGGTGAATAGGAGAATGCCACAACTTCACTGCTAAACGGCTGCGCCATGCTAGTTCAATTAAATCTCCCCTTGGTACCTAAAAAAAAAAATACAGCATTCAGGAGGCAGACTATGGACCACTTTTCACTGGCAGCTGTCCCTCTAAACTAGCCCCCATACTTCTCTTGTGAAGCAGTATGAAGGCTGCCATTGTTTACCTTTTCACCTAAAAATTTGTCCAGTTTTTATGGTGACCTTAGTGCGTCAACACTTGGGGTTCTATTTATATATTTCGCCCACAGGGTCACACCTTGGGAATGAAATGAACAGCCAATTATTGAAAATACAGAATTTAATAAAGCTAATCACCACAAAGCACACCATTAAAATCATGATATTAAACCATCAAACCTTCATGTGATATAAATATATAAATATACTATATGGTATAAATTAATATTTTATCATAGTCATCGAAGTCCACCCTGATAAGTTTGATTGTAAACCAGGAAAATGT